TGGATCTGGCCAGCTGGACATTCTAGGTGGGGAGATTCTGGCTGTCCGAAGCTTCCACATGGGGGCGCTGAGAGGGCGCGGGAAAGACAAGCCAGGCCCCTGTAGTGTCGTGGGGGGTGGGGGCACCTATATCTTCAGGCTGCCGGCTGTTGCCGTCCCCCCAACGAGGCAGCAGAGACCCTCACTGGCCCGCTCCCTCCTGCCTCTCCTCCCAGATCCTCTCCTCCCTCTCGCCCTCATCATTTCCCTCTGTCTTTCGTTTGCATTCCTCAGTCAAGGTGAAAGAACACGCGAGTGGGAAACAGACAGAGGTTCAAATCCGGACCCTACCACTCACTAGCTGGACCGCCTTATCCGAGGTCCTCTACCTCCCAAAACTGGCCTGTAAAATGGGACCAATAATCCTACCTACTTTGGAGACAGCAGTCGCTCAGGAAACGTCAGCTTCCTGCCCGTATCCCGCCCTCGTCTCGTGTTTCCCGCCCTCGTCTCGTGTTTCCCTCATTTCTGTTCTCTCCCAGCTTTTATTTTTTCTTTTTGTAATCCCTCCCTCCTGCGTCCTTTCTCTTCCCAGCTTTGCTTTCTCAGCCAAACCGCAGCCCTGCGCGTCCACCCGGCGCCCGGGAAGCCTCGCGATGGCCACGACGCGCCCGGCGGCCAGACCGCTGCCCCGCTACCGCCTCGACGTGCCTGGCCAGCCCACAGCCCACCTCGGGGGGTCGCACTGCCCCCAGTCTCGCGGCTCAACCACAGTCCCGCTCGCCACCAGCCCCGCTTAACGCGGGGGTCGCGCCAGCCGCGACATTCCCCAGTTTAGCCAGGGGTGGCGCTCCGCCTCGACGTACCTCGTCTGCCCCTAGACCACCCCGAGGCCGCGCCCGGCCCTAAGCCCAGCCCACCCAGGAGTCGCAGCCCACCCAGCGATCCCACAGCCGCCTCCTGCCAGACGAGGGTCGCGCCCTGCCGGGTACCCCCGGCCTTGTTCTTCCCCTGGAAGTGGCGCCCCAACCCACCCACCGCCAGGGCCGCGAGAACGAAACGAAGCGGGGCGCGCCGGCTAGGGCCGTGCCGGGGTGGCCGAGGGCACTGGGCGGGGCGGCGGGCTCTGGCTGCCAAGGCTGTGAACGCCAGCGCGACCGCAACCCGAGGGCGACGCTGCAAATAGTCGCGGTTTCCTCCCGGTGCCCTGCCTCCCTCTCGACCATCCGGGCCTTTGGGGCTTTCTCTCCCTTCTTCCAGCCGCCTCCTTGGCACTGTCCCATGTCCCCCGCCGCCTTGGCCCCGCTGTGCAGCCACCACATCCTGCCCCAGGAGATTAGCGCCGAGTTCCAGGCTTCCAGAGGTCTAATACTCACAATAAAGTTAGGATTAATTGAGCCCGTACGATGTCCCAGGCGCTGTGCTGAGCGCCTGACGGGCAGAAATTCAAGAAATCTTTACAACAGCCCAATGAGGGGAGGTTCCAACTTGCAGAGGAAGAAATTAGGCTCAGAGAGACCCCTAAGGTCCTACGGTCACCTGTTTGGATGCGCAGAGTAGGAATGGAGTTCCCGGGCCCACAGCTGCTCAGCTTGCAGCCTGGTGAGGCGCCCCCTGTAGGCCGAGGACCTAATGGGAGGTGGGAGAGGCTGACTGCGGGTCCAGGATACTAGTAGACCACTAATTTGCAGTGTAACCTGGAGCAAGGCCCCCCTGCCTCAATTTCCACGTAAAATGAAATGGATGAAAGGCAAAACTGTGTTCGCTGTAAAGAGGACATTTTTCGCAACAGTGGAAAGCCCAAAATGGATTGTGAGGGAGTGAGCGGCCTGCCTTTGGGAGAGTGGGAGGCTGAGTGACTACCATCCTGGGTATTGAGACAGCTTGCACATCAGGGCTGACTGCTTCAGAATTAGCCTAAGACCTAGCATGGGAATTTCAGCAAAGACAGGAATTCTGAAGTCATCCAGGTTTAACGGAATTAGTTAAGTCCTGTCGTCCCTGATTCGTGGCAGCCCCATGTGTGTCAGAGTAGAGCTGTGCTACACAGTGTTTCCAGGGGCTGATGTTTTGGACAAAGATTGCCAGACCTTTCTTCCAAGGTGCCTCTGGGTACCCAAACCTCCTACATTTTGGTTAGCAGCCAAGCATGTTAGCACTTTGGACTACCCACATTTTGGACCTTCCAAAGACATTCCAGGAAGTGAGATAAGGGGGTCTTCTCAATCACTCCCCACTTGCCCTCATCTCTGCCTTCACTGGCCTGGACCCAGAGCTACTACACATTTAAGTGCTCAGCTGCTAACCAAAAGGTCAGAGGTTTGAACCCACCTGCTATTCCCTGGGAGTAAGATGAGGGAAACTGCATCCATAAAGATTAAAACCAAAAAAAAAAAAAAAAAAACCCACACTGCCATTGGGTCAATTCCAACTCATAGTGACCCCCATTGGTTTCCAAGGTGGTAAATCTTTACAGAAGTAGATTGCCCATCTTCCTTCCATGGAGCAGCTGGTGGGTTTGAACCTCTGACTTCTGGTTAGCAGTCAAATGCCTTAGGCTCTGCACCACCAGAGCTCCTCCATAAAGATTACAGCCTTGGAAACCCTATGGGGCGGTTCTACTGTCTTACAGGGTCACTGTGAGTCAAAATTGACTTGATGGTAATGAGTGGATATGTGAGGGGAAAAAAAAAGGTCAGTTTGCACTAGACTACAAAGTTAAAGGTAGGTGGTTTGAATCCACCCCCAGCAACACTGAGAAAGAAAGGACTAATAATCTGCTTCCATTAAGATTACAGCCAAGGAAATCCAGTGGAGCAGTTATTTCTCTGTAACACATGGGGTCCCTATGGGTTGGAATCATCTCGAAGGTGACCAACCAGATGTGAGAAAGAGCTCCCAGAGGTCTGCTTCTGAAAGCTCACAGCCATTGAAAATGCTATGAAGCACGGTTCTGCTCTGAAACGTATGGGGTCACCATGAGTTGGAACTGACTTGACAACAACTGGTTTTGACTTTTGTTTTTTAATGTTCTGAGCCCACATATATCATCTCCCCACTCTCAGAGAGCTCGTTGCATAATGAATTCAGCCCCATTGGGAGAACTGAAGCAAGGTGCCCGTTCAGGGGTGCACAGTCCCATGCCAGGCTGTGTGGCTGGGGAACAGTCAGGGCTGGACTTCACCTCCACTTTCCCCCTTGGTAGCTACCCTTGGATAGGCTACCATCTGCACAGCCTCTCAAAGTAGCCCTTACAGAGCCACAAAGGTGTAAACAGAAGATACTGAGAAAACCCAGAAAAGAAGCCAATTAGTTTTTGCCAAAATCAGGAGCACAGACAGAAAAACTCTAATATGGAAGTGAACAAGAAGCTGGCCCTTTAAGGATCAGTAGGCGTTCACCAGGTGGCAAAGGAAGAAAAGACACTCCAGGCAGAAGCAAAAGCATGGAGGTAGGAAGGCTCAGAGTATTCTGGGAGCAAGTGGTGCAGCACGGCCAGGTCAGAGCTCAGGGAACAGTGGGCTGCAGGAAGCCTGGGAAGCAGGGCACTCCTCCCTTCACCGCTACAGCTGTCGGCTCCCACCTCTCCGCCATCATGTACCGCACTAAATATAATGTACCTGCCAACCAGAAGTCTCTTCATCTGGACTCTAAGATGTGGTATGACAAAGACAGTCTGATTCATCTTCTGTGGCCCGGTGTCTCACCCAGTGTCAATAATAGTAATAATAATAGTTAACAGGTATTAAATATTTACCATCACACACTAGGCTAAGTGTCCTACATGCATTACCTCATTTTGTTCTCAAACCACATTGGAAATAAGTGCTTATTATTAGTTCTGTTTTACAGTTGAGGCTGAGAGGGGTTAAGTAATGTGCTTAAGGTCACACAGCTATTTAATGGTGAAGGTAGGATTAGAATGCAGGTCTCTCTCCCTTGTTCTAGACTGATGGATGGGTGGGTGGTCAGATAGACTGGTGGATGGATGGATGGGTTGTTAGGTAGATGAATGGATAGATGGATGGATGGGTGGGTGGGTGGATGGATGGATGGATGGATGGATGGATGAACGGAGAGGAACTAGACTGAGATGCTATGGTAGGGAGCTTAAACTTTACCCCAAGGGCAATGAGAGGACATTAGAAGGTTGGAAGCAGAGAGAGACAGATCAAGTTAGAGCCTTAGATCACTTTAACAGCATTGGGAAGATAGTTTAGAGTTGGTAATACTTGAGGCAGGAGGCCATTTTTTCTGGCATGTCTCCATTTATTTGTGTAAGGAGCCTCATTTTAAATTTTTTTTAAGCACTGCGTTATTTGTCTTAGGGAAGGACTTATGCTTCTATGCACATACTAGGCTATTTGATGGAGAAGGGAAAGAGGGGTTCAGAACTTTGTGAGGGACAGTCTAGTGAGAGGAAAGGGCCCAGTGACAAGAGAAGGGCTCCATGAGAAGGGTCTTTTGAATCGAGGTTTGGGCCTCAGCGTTGAGGGGGAGCTCAGAGCCTGTGAAAGTAATTGTCAGGGATGGAGGCAGAGTATTTGGGGTGGAGGGAGGCAAGTGGTATAAATATTGGCTAAGTTTTTGAAGGCTTCTGTACAGGGGAGCAAAATACCATTCCAAGATGGAAAGAACCCCTAGGGTCTCCAGCCACTCAGTCTCCAGGCCCCACACACTGCCCCTTTGTGCACCTGGGAGGGAACTCAGCCAAATGTGAAGCAGGTGTTGCATCAGACGCTAAGCCCAGGGATCAAGTGTTGAGGGTGGTGATAGGAGAGGTCTGGTCCCTCCTTCTGAGGCAGCACCCCAACATCATTGGCCTTTCTAGCACAGAAATGGGCCCAGGGGGATCAGATAAGCTGAAGGAAGGGAGCAGGAGAGTTGGAAGGACAAGAGAACAGGTGGAGCTTCCTCCCCATACACCAAAGGAGCCGATCTGTGGACTGGGGCCTGCTGGAGGCAGCGTCTTCAGGCTGAGAGGGGCTCCCTGAGGGACCCAGGCCAGAGCAGGGTCCACCATGCTGCTCTGCCTCACTCTGATTCTCCTGATGGGACTATCTGTGTGCACTATGGCAGGGGACAGCGGAGAGGAGCTGACACTCGGCGCTGAAGTAGGGCCCTGGGTAACTGTGACCCTGGAGTGGGGGAGAGGCTCTGACCAGACCAAGGGTGACCCATGTGGAGCGGGGTGGAAGATTTCTACCATGGCTGCAAGACAGCAGGTTGTATGAGGCAAGGCAAGATGTATGACTCTGCGGATAAGCAGACCTCCAAATTTGCACACCAGAGCAACAGTCTGTATGTGCATGTGCATGTGTGTGTGTGTTTATTCAACAAAGACTTATTTAGCACATGCTCTATGCCTGGCACTATTCCAGATGCTTTATAAATATTAACTCATTTAATCCTCTTATCAGCCTTATGAGGTAGATGCTGTTACTATCCCCATTTTGCAGGTGAGGAAACAAAGACACAGAGAGGTCAAGTAGTTAACTTGTCCAGATTGCACAGCTTCAACATCACAACTACAGACCTTGTCTAAGGCTTGTATCTGTGCATCAGAGAAGGTTTCCAAAATCTCCTTTCAAGGGAATCATCATTTTATTTCCCGATATTGAGCAAGTACTGATTTGATTGCCCATCTCTTCTACTAAACTGATTAAGCCCAGTGTTGCCACTAAGAGAGATCTGAAAGCTGGAGACTTTGCATCTGCCCCCCAAGTGGATGGGAGAGACAAAAAACCTGGCCTCAGGGAACTGCCAGCCTGAAAGGGGACAGAGGGTCACAGACCAGAGTCAAGCACAGGTGTAGTGTAGGGCTACCCATTAAGCAAGGGAAGCACAGGCTTATTTGTGCTTCTTTACTAATCTGTAGTGAAAATGTTCACATTTTTTCACCACATCAAAGATTCTAGTTCTGGGCATGCCTGGCATCTGTCTCTCTCCCAACCCCACAGCACCTTCCTACATAATCAAAGCCTCTTTTCAAGTTTACAGTCCCTGACAGGGACAGAGTACCCAGTAAGCAAGGTAAGCATGGACTTACTTACTAATTTGTAGTGAACAGTTTCACATGTTTTTCACCATATGAAATTATTCACTACAGATTAGTAAGTAACCATAAGGAAGCCATAAGTTGTTTATTGGGTAACTTGCCCCTGCATAGTGAATAAGAGACCGGGGTTCAGGGAACAGTTTGCTCAGGGAAGGCTTCCAGCGGAAGGACAGATGGGACAATGCTGAGCCTGACTCCTCAACCCTCCTGGGATGGTGAGGACACGGGCCAGCCGTGGCAGAGGAAGCCCTACTTGCAGTCCCAGGCCATGGTGAGGTCCCTGGAAACTCTGGTCCTTAGAAATGGGGCCACTGGAAGAATCATTGAGTGGACAGCCATTGGTGGTGAGTTTCCTTCTTGGTTTGTTTGAACATGAAAGTACATGGTTGAGAAGACAATAGGACTGGGGGGCCTGGGTTCAAGCCTCAGCTTCTCCACTGACTTCATGGGCTCTTGGGTTGGTCACCCTCACCGTTAAAATGGGGGGGGGGTGAAATTAGATGATGCCCATGTTTTGTTCAAGCTTTGACATGCTTTATGATGTCAATGCCAAACCTGAAGGTGCCCAGCCCAGGGACCGAGAAGCTGAGCTGTGTGAGGGGCAGCTCTCTACACAGCCACCCTTACCACATCTTCGTGAACTTCCACTGGTGCTGCTGGATTTCCCATCCACATGTACCTCACCCTGAAGTTGGGTCTAATCCTTACTCTCTTTTTACTCTCCTCTAATATCCCTCTTCTTCCCAAGATGCTGGGCTTGGAATGCAGGTAAAGAAACTGGGTTAGAGCTCAGGAAGAACTTAGAAACACTGGGTTGCTTGACAGGGGAGGTGGTAGAAGGAATGGAGGCACCTTCAGGGCTGATCTGATCACCTTCCTAGTGCCTGCAGTCAGCAGTGGAGCGGGGCTCTAAATTAAATGAAGGTGGCATGCTTAGGTGGGGACAAGAGTCCTTCCTGAGCAAAGGGAACAGATGCCTCCTAATGACCCCTCAGAAGGGCAGTGGGTGGGAGAAGGGTAAGTCCTATTTGATTCATAAACATCCATTCTCTCCAGCCTGCACTTGAAGATTGTCTTTTATGAAGGCAAAGTGGTTTTCATGAGCTTTTCAAAAATGAATCTAAATCTCCAAAGAGCATTTTCTGGTTCCCGGCCAGGCTGGGAGGCTCCAGCCGGAGACAGCTGTCCCAGCCACTGATGTCCTAGGGAAGAGACAGACAGAAGTGGTTGAATTGGTTTAAGGCTTAGAAAACAATCCATTCCTGATCCTAAAAATTGGTTCCAGGCAAGTGTGAGATGTAAAATGGGTTTCCACAGCCTGAAGGACCCCGCTGGTCCCAACGTCTCCAGCACTGCCCCTATGGAAATTGGGGATGGAAAAAAGGCCCTGATCCAACCCCTGCTCCCAGGCTCCTGGGAGTTCTGTTTGTCTGTCTTCCATTTTCCTGGAAAAGGAGACACCATCCCCTGCCTTATCCCCAGACTGTCAGAGGAAGGGACTGAAAGTACCATGGACTGCTAAAAGAACTAACAAATCTGTCCTAGAAGAAGTGCAGCCAGAATGCTCCTTGCAAGCAAGAATGGCCACACTTCATCTCACCTACTTTGGTCATGTTGTCAGAAGGGACCATTCCCTGGAGAAGGATATCACGCTTGGTAAAGTGGAGGGTCAACAAAAATGGGGAAGGCCCTCAATGAGATAGATTGACACTGTGGCTGCAACGATGGGCTCAGGTATAGCAAGGATTGTGAGGCTGGCACAGGACTGGGCAGTGTTTCATTCTGTTGTACATGGGGTGGCTATGAGTCAGAGCTGACTTGATGGCATCTAACAACAACACACCCACACTGCTGAGCTCTTGTGTACACCAGGCTCTGTGCCAGATACTGGCAAGTCAGAGACGCAAGGACAGTCTAATGGATGCCAGCTATTGTCACTCTCTCAACTCACTTTCTCAATTAGCAGCATCTCTCCATTTCGGCAGATCTGAGCAGGCACCCCTTCAAAATTCAAGTTGAGGCTAAGGAGGGAGAGGCCTTTGGCTAAGGTCTCAAAGTCTAGTGGAGGCACTAGAACTTAAACACTGAGTCCTTGGTCCAGGATTTCTCTCCCATTAGTTCAGCCATTTCTTTGTCTAACTTTCACCTTCAGACTATATATCATATTCCTATGGGAGGCCCAGCTTTAGGGAAGGGTAGATCTAGAAAATAGGAGCATGCCTGTGGAATTGGGGATAAGCTACCCTGTCTTGCCCACCTTGAGATCATCGGCTGCCCACTCACTGTTTTATGCTGGAAACATTTCCCAAGACAAAGCAGAATGCAGACTATAGAGTCAGATGTCCTGAATTGAATCCTGGCTCTAACACTTCCTGTGTGACCTTGAACAAGTCGCTTAATCTCCTCAAGCCTCAGTTTCCCTATCTGTAATATAGATGAGAAATATATATTGTGTTGTTGTTATGTGCTGTCGAGCCAGACCCAACTCATAGCGACCCCTCCTTGGGTTTCTGAGGCAGTATCACTATGGTAGTAGATTAGTAGATGGCTCCATCTTCCTTCCGAGGAGTGGCTGGTGGGTTTGAACTGCCAGCCTTCCGGTTAGCAGTCAAGTGCCTTAGGCACTATGCTACCAGAGCTCCCTTGAGGAATATATATATATAGAGAGAGATAAATCATGGTTATGTAATATAGAGATAAATCATGGTTATGAAGATTAAATGAGATTATGAGAGCCTGGCTTCTGAGCCAGCTGACCAGGGTGCAATTTCTGGCTCCACTTTTCACTTCCCAGTTGGGTGAACTTGGACAAATTACTTAATATCTCTGTGCCTCGGTGTTTTTATCTATAAAATGGTGATACCAGTGATACTTACCTAGCAGGGTTTTGACAAGGATTAAATGAGTTAATACATTAAAGTGCTTAGTGCAGCGCCAGGAACTTAGTAGGTGAAATGTCAGCTATTCATTATTGTTATTATTATGTACATTATTACCTAAAAGATGCAAAGAGGCCAGCACCAGCTCTGGGCAGCTGTTCTCAGACTGTGAGCGGTGGTTATGGAGGTGATGATTTCTCAGGCTGCCCTCCCTGTCTCCTTGCTACATCTCCCCAGGTCTAACTCTAACTCTGCTTCTCCAGGAAGGTATTGTGGCCAGCATTCAGCTCCAGTTTCAGGAGGTGAAGAGGGGCAAAGCGAGTCAGTTCTTCGGGTTGATGGGGAAGCGGATGAGAGGTAAGTGACAAAGACGAGCAAAACCTAGCAAGGAATGGTCCTGCATGAGTCTCCAAAACACCAAGCAGAGACCCTAGGTTCAAACCCAGAACCCCAGGGTCAGTTACTCCAATCCAGCAGGGAGTGTGCACCCAGTGGAATGGAGGTAGAGTTTCTCTATGCATTATCATCTATTCTGCTTACCTAGTGCCGCTCTGACAAGAATATACCACAAATGGGATGCTTGAACAAACAGGACTTTATTCTCTTACCGTTTGGAGGCTTTAAGTCTGAGTTCAAAGTGCCAGGTTCTAGGGGCTAGGTGAAAGCCCCTCAACCTTGGGCTTCAGCTCTGCTTCCTGCTCCCAGCCCACTGGAACTAGGGGCATCTCTTCACTCAGACAGCTGCTGGCTGCTGAGGCTAACAAGCCCAAGATTGACAAGTAAAAAGGCACAGTCCTGATGTTACCAGACCACATAACAAGCCATTAATTCAAGTCCCTTGAAAGTCCCAAGGTCAGGAAGAGCATGGCAGGCTGCTGAACAACAACACAGCTACATGCAGGGTTCAAGCATGCCATAAGCTAGAGACCATTCCTGTGGTAGTTCAGTTTGTGTGTCAACGTGGCTGGGCCTGGTTGAGTGGCTGGGCAGCTGGATGTAGTATTCCCCATGATGAGATTGGTAATCAACTCCATGGTGGAATCTACTGGGAGCAGCTGAGTAGTTAGTTGCCTTAGGGAATGTGGTCTGCTTCCTATATATAAGTAGAAGCCTTGGAGCATGGTCTCTAGCTTATGGCATGCTTGGACCCTGCATGTATCCGTGTAGTTGTTCAGCAGCCTGCCGTGCTCTGCCGACCTTGAGACTTACAATGGACTTAAGTGGCCTGCCATGTGGTTTGGTAACATCAGGACTGTGCTTTTTTACTTGTCAACCTTGGGTTTGTCAGCCTCAGCAGCTAGCAGCTGTCTGAGTGAAGAAATGCCTCTAGTTCCAGTGGGCTGGGAGCAGGAGGCATAGCTGGACCCCAAGGTTGAGGGGCTTTCACCTAACCCCTAGAGCCTGGCACTTTGAACTTGGACTTAAAGCCTCCAAATTATAAGAATAAACTCCTGTTTGTTAAGGCCATCCCATTTGTGGTATATTCTTGTCAGAGCAGCACTAGGTAACCAGAACAATTCCCAAAGCTGCTTCTTATGTATGGGAAGCAGACCGCATCCCTCAAGCATCTACTCAGCTGCTTGTGCTAGATCCCACCATGGAGTTGATTGCCAGTCTCATCATGGGGAATAACTGCCACCAGCTGCCCAGCCACTCAACCAGGCCCAGCCAAGCTGGCACACAAACTTAACCACCACATCATCCAAACCAGGAACTTTGGAGAGAATTAAAAAGTATACCAGGTAACAGGTGTAAACTGGGTCTGTCCCTAGCACATGGGAAGTAAGATCACCCTTGTTGTTGTTGTTTGCCGTCAAGTCGGCCCCGACTCATAGCGACCCCTCCTTGGGTTTCCGAGGCAGTATCACTACGGAAGTAGGATTGCCCAACCTTCCTTCCGAGGAGTGGCTGGTGGGTTTGAACCGCCAGCCTTCTGGTGAGCAGTCAAGTGCCTTAGGCACTATGCTACCAGAGCTCCTAGATCACCCTTAGGGTGAGGGCAAATGCTAAGGGGTGGTTCCCTTGCCTCAGATGTATAGATGATTGTGGAGAATAGAGGTGAAGCTAGAGGTCAGAGTCTAAAGGTGAGCTAAGCCATGGGCCAAGCTTTCTAGTCATTACTGCATGACCCAAACTATTATTAAAATAAAGCTGTGTTTCCTGAGGGCACTCTCAGCCCAGGAGTCATGCCTTGGGCAACAAGGAGAAAACAACAAGGAGAGAAAATAGCTATTTCTTATTGTCAACATTTTTTAAAAGTGGATTAATGCACAGTGTGAGGAGCTCCTATGGTACAGTGGTTAAAGCATTGGGCTGCTAACCAAAACATTGGTGGTTCAAACCCACCAGCTGCTCTGTGGCAGAAAGATTAGGCAATTTGCTTCTGTAAAGATTTAAAGCCTTGAAAACCTTTTGCCACAGTTCTACTCTGTCCTATAAGGTCATTATGAGTTGGAATCTATTAGATGGCAATGGATTTGGTTTGGGTTTTGGTTTGGAATGCACAGTCTTGGTGAGGCCATAAAGAAAGTGGCACTTTTGTATCCTGTCTATTTGGAAACCGCCTTGGTGGTATCCATCAGAGTTGGCATGTGCATACCTTTTAACCAGCAGTCTCACTTCAGGGAGTCTACAGGAAATGCCATTCATACATGAGCCCTGAGATGCCAGAAGCAGAGGATTCACTGCCAGCTGGTTTGCCAGAGCAAGAATTTGAGGATCACAGAAAGAAATATCAATAGGGGAATGCTCCAAGTAATTAGGTCCATCTCTAATCTTTGTGGCCATTTTGAAAAAATGAAGCAGAATTGTGGGAAGACATGGGAAGATCTCCAAGCTATACGGTTCAGTGGAAAAAGCAAGTGACAGGATACGGGTGATAAGAGCCTACTTGTTTAAAAAAAGCTGTATCCTTACACACACATATAGACAAATGTATACAAAAACTTCTAGAAGGATAAATACCAAATTGTCAACAATGGTTGCTTAGCATAGCGCCAGGAAAATTGAAGATGAAATGTCAGCTGTTTATTATTATTTTTATGTACATTATTGTGTAGAAGATGCAAAGGAGCCTGAGTTGAGGCCACAGAGGGAGAGGAAGTAGATGTGAGGGAGAGAGAGTGAAGAGTGACTTTAATTCTGGGATTTTAATTTTCACTGTATAAACGTCTATATTACTAGAATTATAGTGGGCATGTATTCAAGACCTTTTTTAATAAAACAATATGCATATGAAAATAGAGAAAACCATCTTGTGACCAAACACTTTTGGCCTTCGGTTCCTCCTCTGTAAAATGAGCTTTGGACCGGGCCATTTCAAAGGTCTCTTTCAAATCTAACAACCGTGAGGAGCAGGGAATGGGGTATAAGTGAAATATTTCTTAAGTACCTACTATGCTCACACATGATTAAATCCTCACAATAATATCCCCCTTATAACCAATGAGGAGCCTTGGTGGCACAGTGGTTAAGTACTCAGCTGCTAACCGAAAAGTCCGCAGTTCAAACCCACCAGCCTGCTCCAAGGGAGAACGCTGTGGCAGTCGCTTCTGGAAAGATTTACAGCCTTGGAAACCCTATGAGGCAGTTCTACTCTGTCCTATAGGGTTGCCAGGAGTCAGAATTGACTCGGCAGCAATGGATTTCATGGGCTTGGTTATCATCAATGGAGAAACTGAGAGTCAGATAGGGAAGTACTTTTCCCCAGGATGTCCAGACCAGGTGCCTCTGACTCCAAAACTCTGTGCCCGCTTCCCTCTACTCCACACTGCTTCCTATAAGGAGCAGCTGAGTGGGTCAGTCACACAAGGATAATGGGAAGTGACTGGAGTCCCACTTAAGACCCACCACAGGCACCAAACCCCAAAAAGCCACGAGACCTTTCCATCTCACTGAGCGCCCAGTAAAGCAGTACTGTCGTCATTCCGGCTTCCTCTCTTCCCAGGAACATCGTCAGTCCAACCAGTGAGAAGAGCAGGTGTGTGTTGTCCAGACTTTCCCTTCAGCATCCTTTGGGGGGGGGTGTGGAGTGATTTCCTGGCCACTAATAGGTCAGGGAGGTTAGACAGAGGCTCTGGCCAGGGGTTTACCAGGTTGTAGATGGCAGGCCAGCATGGTTTGGCTACACACTGGCTTCCTGGACTAATTCTTGTGGTGGATCCCTTAGTTGGGTTGTCTATGACACTTAGGGAGTGGGTGCAGGGATAAGAAGACAGGGATGTATCTAGGTCTGCCAAATGTTCAGTTACCTTGGGTCTAAAGTCTGGGGTTGGGAAAGCAAACCAACCACAACCAAAGAAGAATGCTCAATCCTTCCATCCATTCCCCACACTGCACCCATAGGGATCTTAAAATTGCAAATCTGAGCAGTCACCCTCTTGCATAAAACCTTCAGTGAAAGGGGAAAGCAAAAAGAAAAGAAAAGAAACCAGTCTTTACCTACCACCCTCTTCAGCTCTCAGGATCGAGTCCAACCCTTAACATGACTCACCGTGTTCCCCAGCCCCATCTCCCATGGCTCTCCTTCCAAGACTACCTGCCAAATCCACAGCACACTGTACTGCACTTCCCTGCTTGGGCATGTAGCTGGTGTCCCCAGACCAGAAATTCCACATGGGCAGGCACCAGGTATGCCATTGGCTCTGTATCCCCTAACCTCCAGCGTAGTTTTTGCCTATTACAGGCACCCAAGAGCTGTTTGTAGAAGGGAGGGAGGGAGGATAAAAGAGAGGATGGGAGGGATTAATGAAGGAATCAGTGAAGGAATGAACAAATCAAATGATGGTTTTTCATCAACTCCCAAGATGACTGAGAAATGACCTCATTTACAAAGTCCCAACTTCCCAAGATAGCCTCTATGCTATAAGCTCTCTCCTCTGTCAACAGGGTATGAGCAAGAACAAGCAGTCCAGGGTCTCCTGGGCAAGAAAGGACCATCTACTGGAGGTAGGTCAGAGTCTCTAGTGGGTGACATGTGCATCACAGGAAAGTGGCCAGTCATTTTGGGGCCAGTTTCTAAGATGGGGGTTAGGCAGCTAGCCAGAAAGAACAGGGTCCCCACAAGCTATTAGGTGGGGGCTCCACAGGAAAGGGCTGTTGAGTTGTAGGGAAATGTTCCTCTTAATGATGCAGCCATGAAACAGCCACAGCTCTGAGGCTGTACCCTCCTCACCCCAAAAAAGCCCAGGCACACTCTATCCCCAGGGGGCCAACTGAACCTACAAAGAATGATTCTTAGTTTGCCAAACGCTGGAGCATTCTCTTATTGTCCTAGTAGCTCTAATCATTGATCATTAGAGAGTCACACCTTTGGTTTTAGGAGATTTTCTGCCTTCAACAGTTGCAAATAAGTGCAAATTACCCTGGGAGGGGTAACACCTTGTGCAAATATCAGCTAACACCTTCTGGTAGAGGCACACACTGAAATGGTTCCAAGGAGCCAGGCATGAAAGTAAATAACTGGGGAAAATAACAGCTGCTTGAATGACCTGATACCAGAGGAAGGGCAGTGGGTGCTCCCGGCCCTCAATCGACAAGCTGAGTTCCAGTCTGCTTTCTCAGATGCCTAGTCTTTCTCCCAGAGTGGCAGACTTCTGGACCACCCCCACCCCACCTCACCCCACCCCCAGCTTCCCTGATGAAGCACTTGCTCATTACAACACTGCCTCTTGGGAACAAAGATGGGAAACTCCTGTATAATCCCTTGAATTTTTTTTCACAAAACATTTGAGCCGTTCCATGCAAAGAGTCATGGGCGTCATCCCAATAGCAAATAGAAATGAATGCCCCTCCAGGTGTAGTGTAGGCAGGAACCTTATAAGTTATTGCTCGGAAATGGAAAGCAACTTGACCAAAGGCACACCGTGAACTAGTAATAGAACCAGGACTGAAAACTGTGCCCCCTGTTTCCTAGTCCAGGGTACTTTCCAGGGTCCCAGGAAGGCCTGGGAATTCCTGAATACTGTTACTACTGCCCTTCCTTTAGAGATGGGAACTGAGTGTTGCGTGAGTTGCTGGCTCCTATGGTCTGGGGACATTTACAATTAAGTAATGGAAGATAGGACCAATGAACCTGTAATATTGTTGCCCTGGACATTTACAGACAGGAGAGACCTGAGGGAAAGGCAGGGCTTCAAGTGGAGTGCCTGGGGAAGGCTTCTATGGTGGAGGAGAGACATACTCCCCTAACCATATGTCCATTACAGAGCTCTCCCCGGACCCAGAGGAGGACCAAGGTCCAGAGTGAGAGCCCAACCACACGCTTTCTAGAGGACGATGACTCCCCTTTTCCTACCTGGATGCTCAGCTGACCAGCCAGCAGGGCCAACTCTCTTCTTCGTGTGTCTCCTGTTCTCTATCCTGGCATTTCACACCAGGCCTGCACTGAACTCACTGGCTTTTCCTTCAGAACACTCAAGTACCAGTTGTGTGTAAATGAACTGTCATCACCCTTACAAGCTGGAGTGACCGTGCTTCCCCCAGCGTTGAGCTCTCATCTGTCTAGTGGGGATGAGGCTCACACATTCCTGACTCCCCTGTGCCCAGCACATAGCAGGGGCTCAATAAATGAATGAACAGTGAGTGGCTTCTTCTCTGGCTCAGGGCACAAGGTCGTAATGGCTTGGACTCTGCATCCTGTCCAGTGACCTATCTGATGTGTGTTTTCTGGAATTGGAAAGAGAAATACCAAAGAGACCCAGTCCCCTACATGAGGGTGAGAAAACAGACTTGATGCACATGAGAGGATGACAGCTAGATGAGAAATGGGAAGGAGACCCTGGGAGGGTAGCACAGGCATCTTGGAGTGAAGTGGATTTGAAGGCAAGGGGTCATTTTTCTCTTTAGGATGTTATGAAGCTCCATTCTAAAAGAAGATACCCTCCCGCCACCCACAGTCATGATCTCAAGGATTCAAGTCCATGTATCTTCTGACTTGGAGCAGAACTGAGGCCCAGGTCATTGATCCATTCTCTTGTGTATGGTGGTTCTTCAATTAACTGCTTTACTTTTAGGTCACAGGCAGTCAGCCACCCATTGAGCACTACTCACTCCTGAGCATTGGGAAGAGCTCCAGAGGAATGAAACTAGTCACATCCTCAAGAGCCCTCTGTCTGATGGGGTGACTATTGTCCTGTCCCAGTGGTTTATGGGCAGACAGGACACACAGGACTCTAGACAGAGTGAAATCCTAGAATGTGAATCCAAGTCCTTAGCACCATCGAGTCATCACTGACTCATAATGACCTTATGCACAACAGAACGAAATGCTGCATGGTCCTACACTGGCCTCACAAACCTTGCTACACCTGAGCCCATTGTTGCAGCCACTGTATCCATCCATCTTGTTAAAGGCCTTCCCCTTTTTCGTTGACCCTCCACTTTACCAAGCATGGTAGCCTTCTCCAGGGAATGGTTCCTTCCTATAACATGACCAAAATATAGGTGAGACAAAGTCTGACTATTTTTGCTTCCATGGAGCATTCCAGCTGCACTTCTTCCAGGACAAATTTGTTAGTTCTTTTAGCAGTCCATGGTACTTTAAGTATTCTTCACAAACACCACAACTCAAAAGCATCAACTCTTCTTCGGTCTTCCTTATTCATTGTCCAGCCCTCACATGCATAAGAGACAATTGAAAATACCATGGCTTGGGGTTAGGTGCACCTTAGTCTTCAAGGAGACATCTTTGCTCTTCAGCACCTGCTGCTTCCATTGGTGTAGACTGTAGAACCAAGTAATATGAAGTCCTTGACAACTTCCATCTTTTCTCCATTTATCATGCTGCTGCTTATAGGTCTAGTTGTGAGGATTTTTATTTTCTTTGTATTGAGGTGCAATCCATACTGCAGACTGTAGTCTTTAATCTTCATCAGTAAGTGCTTCAAGTCAGCCTCACTTTCAGCAAGCAAAATTGTGTCATCTGCATATCACAGGTTGTTAATGATTCTTCCTCCAATCCTGATGACGTTCTTCTTCATATAGTCCAGCTTCTCAGATTATTTGTTCAGCATACAAATTGAATAAGTATGGTGGAAGGATACAACCCTGACCACTCCTTTCTTGATTTTAAACCATGCAGTATCCCCTTGTTCTCTTTGAATGACAACCTCCTGGTTTATGTACAGGTTCCTCATGAGCACAATTAAGTGTTCTGGAATTCCCATTCTTCTCAATGTTATCCATAATTTGTTATGATCCACACAATCGAATGCTTTTGCATAGTCAATAAAACATAAGTAAACAAACACCTTTCGGATATTCTTTGCTTTCAGCCAAGATCCATCTGACATCAGCAATGATGTCTCTCATTCGATGTCCTCTTCTGAATCCAGCTTGCATTTCTGGAAGTTCTCTGTCAATATTCTGCTGCAACCATTTTTTAATTATCTTCAGTAAGATTTTACTTGCATGTGATATTAATGATATTGTTTGATAATTTCCACATTCTGTTGGATCACCTTTCTTTAGAATGGGTACAAATATGAATCTCTTCCAGTCAGTTGGCCAGGTAGCTGTCTTCCAAATCTCTTGGCATAGTGAGTGCCTCCAGTGTGGCATCCCTTTGTTGAAACATCTCAATGGGTATTCCTTCAATTCCTGGAGGCTTGTTCTTCCCCAGTTCCTTCAGTGCAGCTTCAACCTCTTCCTTCAGTACCATTGGTTCTTGATCATATGCCACCTCCTAAAATGGATGAACATCAACCAATTCTTTTTGGTACAGTGATTCTGTGTATTAATTCCATCTTCTTTTGATGTTTCCTGCATCATTCAATATTTTGACCATAGAATCTTTCAATATTGCAACTCAAGGCTTGAATTTTCTTCTTCAGTTCTTTCTGCTTGAGAAATGCTGAACGTGTTCTTCCCTTTTGGTTTTCTAACTTTAGGTCTTTGCATATTGCATTATAATCATTGGCTTTGTCTTTTTGAGCTGCTCTTTGAAATCTTTTGTTCAGCTCTTTTATCTTGTCATTTCTTCTATTTGCTTTAGCTACTCTCCACTCAAGGGCAAGTTTCAGAGTCTCTTCTGACATCCCTTTTGGTCTGTTCTTCCTCTCCTGTCTTTTCAATGATCTGCTCATCAGGTTACTTAACATTGTGTCCCTTTCTCCTAAAAGAAGAGATTCAGTTAGAAGTTGTCTCTGGTCTATGATTCTTCAAGGAGACTAGAGGAGAGGTGTGCCTCAGCTATGTTTAAACGGAGGGGAAGACAGGCATGGTGGAGTGGGTAGGAGCTTCAACTGGCTGCCTGGGAAGGCTTTAGTGATAGCCATGAAGCCACTAAGGAGAGGAGGCCAAATGGCCACCAGCATAACCAGTAAGATTTCTTCAGTTTGTCCTGTAGTGGAATAGTCTCTGTCCCAAAACTATTCACCATGAGCCTCAAGTTCCCTGAAGAGAGTAAACCTCCCATTCATTCCACCATGTCCAGTATAGGACAAAAAAGTAGGGGGTGGGTGGCACAAGCCTCCTCTTCAGAGTTTGGCACTACTACAAAATTTCCTATTCAGTGTACTTATTCCATCCATTCCTAACCTACCAGGTATCCCTAGTGCCTCCCCCACCCCACTTCACCCATTGCTGTGGTCCCAAGAGGTAGTTCACTGAGACAAACCCAACTCAAAGGAGCAGCAAAGAGAGTTGAGGATTTTATTCTGGCGTTTATTTGGGACATTTTAGAAAAAGCTAAATTCACCAAATATTTAGGTAGTATCTTCTCTGTGCTAGGAACTCAGATGGGACTAGGGGTACAAAAGAAGTACGAGATTGGGATTCGTCTTTGAAGACCAAAATGTCTTTATAGGACAGCCAAAATTTACTCATTCTGTGCAAAGCCCACACACTGCTCTCCAGCCATATCGTTTTCAAAACCACCATGTCACTCAAGCTTCTGGTTTCTGAACATGCCATTCTTTCCTTTCTGGTGAATTCTTACTCAGAAGTCAATTTCTCTGTGAAGGTTTCCCACACCAGGAGCCACCCATTCACTCCCTCCTCCAAGGTCCCGAGTGCCTTGCATTACATTACATCATTTACTGTGTATTGTAATGTTTAAATTAATTAAAAGTCGTGGTTTATCATCCCCAAAAGACAAAGTTTCTCAAGAATAGGGACTGCAGCTCTTTGTACCACTCCTGCTAACAATACTGCTGGCACATAAGAGGTCCTTGGAGACTGTTTTGGCGAAGGACATACATTTATTTCCTGCCTGCAGGGAATTTCTGTCTCTAGGGAGCCATAAGGGAGCCAAACTGAAAACACTGAAGTCCATTAACAGCTACCATCTACTGAGCACACATCCTAAAGTTCTCAAACTCAACACTCCCACACAATGAACTCTTGATCTGCTTCAGAGGCATTCTCACATCTTCTGCTCCTCTACACACTGCACCTCCATGTACCCACCCAGCTGTTCAAGCTAGAAACCTGGGAGTTACCCTCCATTCCTCACTCCCCACATCTAACTCATCCCTAGTTGTTGATTCAGTTTCCAAAATCTCAAGCTCATCTGCTTCTTGGCATCTTCATGGCTACCATTAATAGAAGCTACCTTCACCCGTTGCCTGAAGACAGTAGCCCAACTGACCCCCTTGCTGTCCGTCTTCCTGCTGCCTACCCACCCACTCACCATAGCCGTTCTTCCCCAGAGCATGACCTTTGAAAATGGGAAAATGGATAATGCCCATCCCCGACCAGTTTCTTCACTTAAAATGGCATCCTGTGGCCTCTAATGCCCTATGCTCTCTAGTCTCTCTCAATCACCTCACCCCAGCCACTGGGCTTACTCTCAGGGTTCTACACACACCAAGTACTCACCTGCCTTGGGGGCTGCACACAAGCTCTCTCTCTCATCTGGAACATAACCCTGGTTCCCCTAATTCTTTCTCATCTTTTAGGTCCCAGGAAAAAGGCCCTTCCGCAGACAGGGCTTGCTTGATCCTCAAGCTTAACTAGTTCCCTCTTATTATTCTTTCACAACATCTTGTCCTTTTCCTTCATAGCACTGATCACATCAGTAATTACATACGTTTCCCCTCTCTCTCCTCCAGGAGATGGGAAGTTCCAAGTCTTTTATATACAACTGAATATCCAGTAATGGTACTCAGTGAATATTTGTTTATTGAATAAATGAGTATGTCAAGTATTCTGCAAGACATTTCACCTTCACAATTGTTATCCCACTCTGCAACTGAGGAAAAGCCACTTGCTTCAAGTATACAGCAAATGGCAGAGCCAGGATTTGAA